AGATTAATTCTGTTAGACAATCAACGAGGCTCCCGGTGGCCGGTTTGTCAAGGCTGCCGAGTGACCAGCCGAGGCTCCCTCTTGCGATCAATTATACTGTGATACAGGAAGGCACGGTGAATCGGCAATTACGAGGGGATCAATTAACTAAGCTTTCGTCCAACGGAAGAGCGAGGAGGCGCCGAGGAGGGGTAAACCGTTGACCAAAAACATGTACAGTATACACCAGTGCCCACTAATGCCCAGTGGGTATTACTTTATCTTATTGTCTTATTTATCTTGTTTTAACTTGTTTTAGCTTTATAATGCCCCAGCAAGGCCTAATGTCCAAACTAATGCTCCAAAAATGCCTATTAATACCCAGTAATGCCGCAAATCTGTACACCACAATGCTCTCAGCGGTTTACCCTATGGGAAAACCGCTGACCAAAATCTTGTACACCAATGCCCAATGGGCATTACTTTATCTTATTTTATTTATCTTGTTTTATCTTATTTTATCTTTATAATGCCCCAGCAAGACCTAATGCCCAAACTAATGCCTAGTAATGCCGCAAATCTATACACCACAGTGCTCTCAGCGGTTTACCCTAGGGTAAACCGCTGACCAAAATCTTGTACACCAATGCTTACTAATGCCCAATGGGCATTAATTTATTTTATTTATCTTGTTTTATCTTATTTTATCTTTATAATGCCCTAGCAAGACCTAATGCCCAAACTAATGCCTAGTAATGCCGCAAATCTATACACCACAATGCTCTCAGCGGTTTACCCTAGGGGGAAACCGGTGACCAAAATCTTGTACACCAATGCCCACTGATGCCCAATGGGCATTACTTTGTCTTATTTTATTTTATTTATCTTGTTTTATCTTATTTTAACTTCATAATGCCCCAGCAAGACCTAATGCCAAAACTAATGCCTAGTAATACCCAGTAATGCCCAGTAATACCGCAAATCTGTACACCACAATGCCCTCAGCGGTTTCTCTCTCGGCGCCAAGAGACCGTTCTAGGAGACCACACGGTACCGGCGATGCGCGCAGCAGCGCGTCGAGTACAATCGTTGACACGCGGCTGTGTAATTTCGTCCAAGGCTATTAAACGCTGACGATAACTTTTCCTCCGTGTCAGCCTCCCACCATTTCCAGCGGCACATCCGTCGCGAATTTGATCCGTTATCGAGTTGACTTTTTCTTCAATTTTTTCAGTGATTTTAATTTTTTAATATAATTTCTTTTCAGTGAACGCGTGCCAAAAAATGTATCGAGTCCTTTTAATTTTTAAAACAATCTCTCGACACTTCCACGGCGCAAGAAGCTTCGGTATCGTTCGAGGTGAAGATCGAAAATCGTGATTTTATCGGAGAGAGCGTTGAACACTTTGACTACACTTGATGCGACAACCACATCGTTCGTCGCTGCGCCAATGATTTGTCCTCCGTATTCTCGTTCTATATTTCTATACTTTGAATTATGAAGGTAAATTGGATGCTATCGGGTGAGAAGCCGAATAAAAGTTTAACAAACAAATCTCTTCGGATACTCCTCGATCATCCGTTCGTTATGTTCGAATGTTCAGCCTCTCTTCTTTCAATCACCTAAACACGTCCGACGATTATTTCACATAACTCGAATTTTTCCAACAAAATATACCCAAATAATTAAATTATATAATTTTTGATTGGATGGCGTTTGTACTTGGCGTCTTTTTTACCTTTTTTTTTAAAACAAAGGTTATTTTTTAAAGCGATTTCACATAACTCCAACTGTGCGGGAAACAAGCTACTTAAGAGCGAATATTAAGACTGGTACTTCCATCGCTCTCAAGTGTATCTCCTTCTCCAATCCGCAGAAACTCGACCGGAAGAATCGTCTGGCTTGCGGCCATGCGTTTTCGACGCGATTGACATTCACCTAATTCGACGTTCCCGTTAAGCTGGGTATGCATCTACGAACAAACAACGAGCGCGAACGTTCAGAGATTCGTGTTTGTGTTCCGAGGACGTTCGTTCCTTTGCCGTACCGCTTCGCGAATTTCGCTGTTCGTTCTCTCGTAGATGTGTACCCAGCTTTACTCGACGATCTCGCGGACGCCCGGAGGAGAGTCCTGGACCGAGAGCCGTCGCCCCTTTGTCTCGCGGCGACGACGATGTTGTTATTTACAAATCGGATCTGTTCGCGCGACACTCACGCGACGATGAGACGAGACGGGAGCCACCGGTTCTGTTGATCCGCTCGACCCCTATGCGCGCCGGCACGGCTCCTCGCGGTAACGCTCGCGTAAATGGAGTGAGATTGCCGGTGTGCCGCGTCAGCCAGCACGTCGCGTCGGCGGAAAGAAGAGAGACGACCCGCCCCCTCCCCTTTCGCTCCTCTCCCCCCCCCTTCCCCCCGCCGCGTCCCTTCCGTAGACCCACGGGGTGGATGAGGTGGATCACGCAGCGGGGAGTAACGTACCTACTCACCGGGATGGGCGAGCGATTTAAAACCGGGAGTCATCGACGACGCCGCACGGAATCCGCCGCCCCTCGCGTCGCCGCTCTTTTTCTTCCGCCTCCTTCGCGCCCGTCTTCGCCGGTGTCCCCCTCGCGGTGTCCCACTCGCGATCGAGCCGCGACCTGCGACCACGAATTTTTCCGTGCAGAGCACCGAGCGTCGACTGCCGTCGCGGCGATCGCGGCACCGCTTTTCACGCGAGAGAGAAACGACGCGCCGGACACACAGATACCAACACGAGGGCGCGATCCACCCACACCCGTGTACACACGCGCGCACGCGCGCGCACACACACAAACACCGACTCACACACTCGCGCAGTGTTGTGCGCCGCGCTCAGCCGCGAATCACGAATATCGCCCGTCGAGCGCGCGTGATGTGACTCACTTCAGTCCGGTCGAGCTCGGCTCTCGGCCCGAGCCGCTCCGATTTCCCGCGAGTCTCCGGCGGCGGCGTGCGCGCGGTATGAGCGGCGGCTCAGTGGACCGCAGGGACGGCAGGGACGGCCCTGGGGCCCGCCGCACCCTCGATCTCGCCTCCAGGTATACAGGACGTACTGCGAATACGCGATTTCCATGAATTTCACAACGAATTCGATTGCATGCGCTCAGAGCGCGCTTGTTTACAATATTCGCGCAGATAAATAATGATAAATAATGGTATTAACGCTACGCGCTACCCCAGTGAGAAGTAATCTCTGCAAAAGTAATGATATCAACAGATTGCGCCAACTGAAATGGACATTTATGCAAACTAAGCACTTCATTATTTTTTATATTAAAATGTCATATTCCAAAAATCGAGCATAAGATTTTACCGGAAGAAATAAGAGAGATAATAATATTAATGGGACAAATTTTTAATACTTAAGCCAACGGCACGCGATACTATTTTTCCTACTGGATTGCTTACGAGAGCCAATCGGAATGCAGAGTTTTCGATCAGGCAACTCAAAGCTGAATACCGATTGGCTCTCGTGAGTAATCCAGTAGGAAAAATAGCATCGTGTGCCGTTGGCTTTATTCATTAAAAATATAATGCAAAATTACTACAAATATTTTTTTAAGAGATGGTATTTTCAAATTTAATTGTCGGATACATATTGGTTTAACGCTACGTGTTACTTCGGTGAGAAATAATTCGTCGATCAATGTCGAAACGATGTCGAATCGACGGTGGTTTGTCGATTCGACGAGTCATTTCTCGGTGGGGCATTTTCACTGTCTTCATCCTCTGACGATAAGCGTAGCACTGCCAAGTCATTCCGTGTGTACCAAGTCCTCTACGTCTTCGCGCCGGACGAACAAATTCAAAACGACAAAAAAGTCCAAGGAAAAGCAGTCAGGGG